GTTGCCTATGACATGGAGCAATGGGAATTCATGCGCTGCTTGTGGGAATGTAAATTTGTATAATTATTTTAGAGAAAGAAATGATTTGCAGATACCTTTGAGGCCAAGGAATTGTAGTGGTAGTAACAAGCAAGCTGGAAAGACGGTAGGTTGTCTAGAAAATGCAATGTTGGGCCCAGCACAGTGGCTCAGTGATAGGACACCTGTGGTCCTATCACTTTGGGAGACTGAGGTGGATGGATGACGAGGTCAGGAGTTCGAGACCAGCCAGAACAATATGGTGAAACCCTATCTCTACTATCTCTACTAAAAATACAAAAAAAATTGGCTGGGTGTGGTGGCGTGCACCTGTGTTCCCAGCTGCTCAGGAGGCTGGGACAGGAGAATTGCTTGAGCCTGGGAAGCAGAGGTTGCAGTGAGCCAAAATCATGCCACTGCACTCCAGCCTGGACAATAGAGCAAGACTCCAAAAAAAAAAAAAAAGAGAGAAAGAGAGAGAGAGAGGGAGAGAGAGATAAAAAAAGAAAGAGAAAGAAAGAAAAAGAAAGAAAGAAAGAGAGAGAGAAAGAAAGAAAGGAGAGAAAGAAAGAAAGAAAGAGAAGGAAGGAAGGAAAGAAAGAGAAAAAAAAGGAAAAAGAGAGAAAGAAAATGTAATGTTGGAATTCACGACTTAGGAGACACAGAAATTTGTGTGATAAAAAAGTACAAGTTGTAACCTCCCAAGAGGTTCACTAAAGCGGAGAGGAATATACATTTAAGATAATAAAGGTATCAGTTGGGGTCCAATCAGAACATAGGCACTACATAGTAATTCTTTTTTTCTTGAGATGCAATCTGGTTCTTGTCGCCCAGGCTGGAGTGCAATGGCATGATCTCAGGTCACTGCAACCTCTGCCTCCTGGGTTCAAGCGATTCTCCTGCCTCAGCCTCCAGAATAGCTGGGATTAGAGGCGCCCATCACCATGCCTGGCTAATTTTTGTATTTTTATTAGAGACGGGGTTTCACCATGTTGGCCAGGCTGGTCTCAAACTCCTGACCTCAAGTGATCCACCCGCCTCAGCCTCCCAAAGTGCTGGGATTACAGGAATGAGCCACCACACCTGACCTACTACATAGTAATTTTAAGAAAAGCTTAACATAAAGAATTAACAGTAACAGGGGATTGGAGTGTTGGATTGGCTAGTAATAAGTAAAGGAAACTCTAAAAAATATGGGATAGCAGATATAAATGGCAGACAATAGAAAAATAATGTGTAATGGCCGGTATCTCTAGGGCTGTGATAACCCTCCTCTCCACCCAGGGGTAAGATCCAGGCCTTATTGAAGAAGTTGCTATTGTGCTGAGTTGGTGGAACTTGTTGGACGTACACTCTCTGGAACTTGCTGAAATATACCCCTCTACGGTGCTGGTTTACGTGGGAAGTGTCTCATCAGAGATGCTTTGCTGCCTAAAAACTCAAGGGTGGTGTCTGGGGAGGCTGCTGCCTACTGTTTGTTGGGAAAACCAGGGCTGCAGAAAGTGGGGACTAGGAAAGCTGAAAGCTCGGAAGGAGCTTGTGGAGTGAGCACACAGAAAACAGGAAGTAAAACTTCTTCTTCCTGCAAGGTCTGTCTACCACTGCCTACTGATAAAACTTCATATCGTGCCAGCTGGCAAAGTAAAAAATATTTCAAGACCCCAGGTCCGTTTTCACGGAATAGGCATAAAGGGGAAATGAGAGGTAATAAATCGATTACAGGTTGAGAAGGTCAAGGAACTGAGAGGTCATGATGTTGGATTGTTGTTCTTGTGGATATTGAAATGACCCAAGTGTTGGCAGAAATTAGAGTGGGGCAGAAGGTTAGAGACCAATAAACTTGTTTCTCTAAGCATGACCTTGGTCTATCTGTGTCAGAATCAAGTGGGATACTTTGATAACACGGATTCCTTTTTCTCACTGCAGGTATTCTAAACTAGAGTAGCTGGGAAGAGAGCTCCGAAATCTTTTTTTTTTTTTTTTTTCTGAGATGGGGTCTCACTCTGTCACCCAAGCTGGAGTACAGTGACGCGATCTCGTCTCACTGGAACCTCCACCTCCTACATTCAAGCAATTCTCCTGCCTCAGCCTCCCAAGTAGCTGGGACTACAGGCACACGTCACCCTGCCCAGCTAATTTTTGGGTTTTTAGAAGAGATGGGGTTTCACCATATTGGCCAGGCTGGTCTCAAACTCCTCTCCTTGTGATATGCCTGACTTGGCCTCCCAAAGTGCTGAGATTACAGGTGTGAGCCACCGTGCCTGGCCTTTATTTATTTATTTATTTATTTATTTATGACATGGAGTTTCATTCTTGTTGCCCAGACTGGAGGGCAATGGCATGATCTCGGCTAACTGCAACTTCCTCAAGAGATTCTCCTGCCTCAGCCTCCCGAGTAGCTGGGATTACAGGCATGTGCCACCATGTCTGGCTAATTTTGTATTTTCAGTAGACATAGGGTTTCATCATGTTGATCAGGCTGGTCTTGAACTCCCAACCTCAGGTGATCCACCCACCTCGGGCTCCCAAAGTGCTTGGATTACAGGCGTGAGCCACCATGCGTGGCTGCAAATCTTCTTCTTTTTAATAAGTGCCTTAGTGGATTTGAAATGAAAGAAAATGGTTACTAATATTTTAAACACATACTACTAAATAGTAAAAGTGTACAGTGTATCCAGCATTCAGTCTTAAATGTTCACTTTTGCCTTATTTCCTGAAGATCTTTTGATTTTTCATGAGATGTTACCTATTTTAGCTTAAGTTCCACTCTCACCTTCCTTTCTCCTTCATGCCTCACAGGAGGTCATTATATGAACATTGTTTTTTTTTTTTTTTTTTTTTTTTTTGTCAATCACTGCTTTAGGCAATAGAGAGCCTTTGAACAGGGGTATTAACACTAGACGTGTTTTTGGAAAATCAACCCAAATGTGCCCTGCTTGAGAGTTCATTAGGATGAGAGGATGGAGGTGGGAAAGCCCTTGAAGAGGCAGGTTCAGTGGTCCAGAGGGTGTGGTAAAGAGGATCTGAGGTAGAGCGAGAAATCTTTGCTTTTTTTTTCTCATGCTCTTGTGTGAAGCCTGCTCTTTGTGTTGCTATGACCCCCAGTCTTTGAATTCCCCCTCTCGCCCTATTCCTTCAGTTCATCAGCTTCTTTCTATCTTCATTTGAATCCCTAAACAGCCTGGGTTTCATGGGTGCCCATTTCACCTGTATGCTTGCCACTGCCCTGGAATTCTTTGCTTTGTTGACATTTTACCACACCAACTGTAACTTCCAATCTTTATATGAATAGAACTGGTTCTTTTGCTTTGAGGCAGTGGTCTTGCCATTCTGATTTACTTTATTACTTATAGTAATATTTGCTATAGTGAGAGTCCAAAACGAGGCCAAGTTTTATCCAGATGATCTCAGTGAAGTCAAGCCTGTTTTGGAGGAGGCTGGGTTCACGAAATTTACTCAGACTTTGCTCTTCATCAGAGTAAGTGATACCTCAATAATACTGCAAGATTTTGTTTGTCTGTAGAGTAAAATTTTGATGAGCAATTGTGAAAACTGTTCAGATGACATACAGAAATGTGTTTAAGTTGGTCAGATTTGGGAATTTTATTTCTCAAAAAATGGATTCTGTTTTAATTTCTACAACACAGATTTGGCCATAAGTCAACATCAATGAAAACTTTTGATTTATTATACTGATTTTGCTTAAAACACAAGTACATCAAACAAACCTTGTTATAGAACTATGGACAGACACAATAACATGAGTGAGTCTCAAAATGATGATGTTGAGTTAAAGAAGCCAGAAAAAAGATAGTACTATACTGTATACTTTCATTTATATAAGATTCTTGAAAATGCAAACTAATCTATAGACCCTGAAAACAGATTGGTGGTCGCCTGGGATTTGGAGGCAAAGGGGAAAGAAAAAAATTCAAAGGGCACAAGGACAATTTTGGGGGTCATGGAAAGGTTTATCTGGATTGCATTTGTGTGATTGTATCTAAGGTGTACGTATATGTCAAAATTCATTAAATCATATATATATGCAGTTCCTTATGTGTCAATTATATCTTAATAAAATGGTAAAAAATCATTAGCAAGGAAAAATGTTTTAAGCCATTAAAACAAACAAACAAACAAAAAATCCTTCCTATAATTAGCTACTGTCTATATCAGGGACACCATCTGAATACATTCATTTATTCATTCAACATTTTTTAACATCTATGGTGTATATTAGGCAGTGTGCTGGCAACATAGTGTTAAGTAAAACAAATAAGACCTTGAGTCTAGGAAGCTTACATTCTGGTGGAGGAGTCAGATCAGCATGCGATAATAGTAAAGTGTGATAAATGTCCTGGCAGAGCAAGAAAGGGCAGCTCTGAAAATGTTTAGTAGGGTTATCTAAGCTGATTCGTTGGTAGTAGATGCCTGAAACTGTGTTGAAGAGAATTCTGAGGCTTAGCAGGAAAGAGCTATGAATGATCTGATGTCTTCCATGCATGAGAGAGGTAATCATGGTTTAAGTGCCACACAATTGCCAACATAGGGTTATACTATTAAGATTGGCCTTATCATAAATTTCACAATAGTAGACTTATTTTAAGTGGTTCTGAAAATGTTTGAGAAGGATGAAGATCTCTTCTTATGGACTGTTTTTTTCAGAGCAGTATTTTAAGTGCAAAGTGCTTTTTTGTTGTGGAAATATATATCTTCCACATTGTAGTGTAGACAGAGGACAAGCGCTCTTTTGTTCTCAAACATTCTGTTTTTTTCAAGTGTATTTTACCCGCTTATGTGACTGAGTCTGAGTCTTTGCTAAGGGTACTGCAGCTGGATTATGTAGTGGAACCAGGTCCAGAAAAAAAATTGCTAAAGAATGCAAGTAAACAGGATGTCAGATGTTATCCTTAGCCTATTTCCCTAAACATAGCTTTTTGGCTGCAAAGTAAAATGCCATTCTTCTAGCTTCTGCTTATACACAGTGATGGCTGACAGCAGGCACAATCTTCGTTTGCTTGGCACGTTGTCACTATGCAACTCAACGTGTTTTGCAAGGAATGATCGTGACACACTATCTCTGGGAGATAGTATGAGGACATCCGGCTATTTCTTGGAAGAATTTTCTCTCTACCTTCTTTGAGCCCTGTTGTGCCAGCACATCTCCCCATGAGGCTCAGATCTGTCTGACCTAAGAGCCAGTTGGCATTGTCCTCCTAACAGAAGCCAGATTTTCACTGGGGCTAGACTATTTATTGACAGTGTTTTCCCAGACTGGCCCATGAGTGTCTCATTTCCAAGGTCCCCTGAAGTGCTGCCTCACCTCTGTTTTCCAAAGCACTTGCTTCCTTGCCTCTCCTCCCTCCCCAGCATCCTTCTCACTTTCTTTCCTTATAACTTCTTGCACTCTGTGTGTGTGTGTGTCTGTGCACATGTGTGCATGTGCGTTTCTTCCTTTTTTATCTGAATGAATTTATTTTGCAGGTTTTGAAAAGGAAAACCAATGTTATCCAGGATTGTTCATTAATTCTTATCTGTTTCCACATCTTTGCGCGTGATCTCTGTGGTTTTAAAATCCCACATTTTGAGTAGGTTCTGCTGTTGTCTAAGAAAAGTTGCTTTAAACCTTTGCTCTGCAAGCACCCGAAGAGAACTCATAAAAAGGAAGACAACAGCAGATGCAATCGCGGATGTGGCTTAGTCCACGCAGCTGCCCCAGAGTGCTGTTTGGAGTGTACCGTCCTCAGTAATGAATCCAGAAGAACAAATCGTGACATGGCTTATATCTTTGGGAGTTTTAGATTCCCCTAAAAAGACCATCTGTGATCCGGAGGAGTTTCTAAAGTCCTCGCTGAAAAATGGGGTAGTTCTATGCAAACTGATCAACAGACTCATGCCTGGCTCTGTGGAAAAGGTAAGGGAAATTTATAGTCTCTTTGGGATTGCTTATCACTGGAGAGCGGCAATCATGTAACGCTCGAGATTTTTCTATTTCCCAGGCTGTGGGAATCTCCTACTTTAATATTTTTCTAAGACGTAGACATTCTTTCTTACTGTTTTTGTAGTTTGCAAAGGTAAGAAAATGAAATGTTGTTCTTTAGTAACTGGCCCCCAAATTGTAGTATAGGGAAAACCTGGGACAGCACCTATATCACAAGCTCACTGTATCATGGAGATGCATGTTACATCTCCCTGTGTACTGAGGACAGGTTTTGAACTTGGGGTACATGACTCTGTGGAAAAATAGAATAACTTATAACAGATTTTGATGGTGTTTATTGGCAGTTTGACTAAAATCAGTGTAGATTTCCTTTTATAAAAATCCATTGAAGGAGAGACTATTTAGCAACTGGGAAAAATAATTCAAAATGTCACATAAAGTTTGTAAAAGCAATAGAAACCAGATATATGTTTTGAATGCAATGTGCGTTCAAAGTGAAACTAACTTTGCTCTCTTTAAAACAATTCAAGGTTTTTAATAGCTGGAAACCCACAATCATGAGAATAGATAATTTCTAAAGTAGGCATTTTAAGTAAGCTTGAATGTACAATTTTACATTTATTTTCTTAAGGCTACCATGGAATGTGACTGTGAGTATAGCACTTTTGCCTTCATGAACCAGTTTGTATTTTTATTGAGCAAATAAATTTACTTATAATTTCTTAAACTTGAGAAAGAGTGATTAAATGGTGATAAAATGCAAAGAAATGTGATCAAATGCACGGAACAGCCAAGGGGAAAAAGAATTTTATTAAATTATCTAGGGGAAGGAGGAGAGAAAGGTACTAGGGATTGTTTCCTTGCTTGAAAGCAAGAACTAAGCTCAAAAAACTGTCTTGGTCTCCCAAATTTGCCATGAGCACACTGGAACAAAAGGCATGAGAGAAAGCTTGTAAGTAGGCATGGGTTGGGACTAAAGGTTTGGCGACATTTGAAACAAAGATCAACCGTTTAGATTTTTGCATCACTTCCTTCAGTGGTTATTTCTCTTCCTGGATTGACAGCAATGTTGCCCCACACCTCAAGAAGCCTGCTTTCCCTAGTTATCGGCAAATGATGAATATGCTTTGCTTGGCATGGGATGACAATCTTCAAGTAATATTTCACTGTGTTCCTCTAGTTTTGTCTGGATCCCCAAACTGAAGCTGACTGCATCAACAACATCAATGACTTCCTGAAAGGATGTGCAACCCTCCAAGTGGAAGTAAGCCTACCCCGGGTGCCTTCCCCTTTGTCATCATTTTTTTTTTGCTCTGCTAATCAAGATGGGTGGTAAAAGTACTTGGTTTATTTACACTGTCATTGGCCACTGAGTTAAACAGAGGTGGCAGACTGGTCGTCCCTGGTAACGGATTGCTAGTCTGTCTTTTCCAGAAACCATTTCCAAGCAAAACAAAACAAAATCAAAACTCAAACAATGATGCCTTTTATATACAGCGTCCAAGCCCTGAAAATAGGCTTTCAGTGACAGAGCCTGTGTGGGCGTGTTCCCCTACTAAGGGGAACCAAAAGTGGGCCACTGACTGTTGGAGAGGATCACTGTAATCCTCCCAAATAAAGAAAAGGGGAAAGGCCATTGTTACTCCTTCCCATTAATACTTTAGAACAGATGCCTTGAAAAGCAGAGAGAACCTGGCTCTGAGCCAGAAGTTGTGTAGAAAACTGTGTTGCATTATTTTATATTATATGGATCCCTACAGTGTGTATGGGAAGTGTTACTGAAAGGGAGGCAAGACTTCCACATGTGCATCAAGTTGCTTAACTTCTCTGTGCTTCAGTATTTTTATCTGTAAAGTGGACATGCTAATAGCCAACTCATGGGATTGGTTTAAGAATCAAATGAGGCTCTACATGGTGGCTTATGACTTTAATCCTAGGCCGAGGCAGAAGGATTGCTATAGCTCAGGAGTTTGAGACCAGCCTGGACAGTATGATGAAATCCCGACTCTACATAAAATGCAAAAATTAGCCAGGCATGGTGGCGTGAGCCTGTAGTCCCAGCTACTCGGGAGGCTGAGGTGGGAGGATCACTTGAACCTGAGAGACGGAGGTTGTGGTAAGCCTTGATCGCACCACTGCACTCCAGCCTGAGTGACAGAATGAGGCCCTGTCTCAAAGAAGAAAAAAAGAATCAAATAAGATACGGCATAATAATTTAGGGCCAAGAGCTCCGACATCATATAAGATCTATGCGGTAATTTATGTAGAGTCCTTGGCACAGGGCCTGGGACAGAAGAAGTACTCTATTTTAGTAGACTAGTATTAGTCATATTATCTGTGGACAAATAATTGTGTAGTTTAAGCATGAACTCTGGTGCGAGACTTCTTGGGTTCAAATCTCAGTTCTCTCTTACTAGCAGCTTTGTGACCTTGGGCATGTTACTTAACTATGACTCTAGGCCTCAGTCTTCCTACCTACAAAATGGGAATAATAGTGGCACCTAACTTGTAGGATTTGTGTGACTTTTTTTTTAAAAATATATATTATTTCAGTAGTTTCGGGGGAACAGGTAGGTGGTGTTTGGTTACATGGATAAGTATGGATAAGTTCTTTGGTGGTGATTTCTGAGATTTTGATGCATCCATCACTTGAGCAGTGTACACTGTACCCAAAGTACAGTCTTTTATCCCGCACCCCACTCCCACCCTTCCCCCGAGTCCCCAGGGTCCATTATATCATTCTTATGCCTTTGGATCCTCATAGCTTAGCTCCCCCTTATAAGTGAGAACATACTATGTTTGGTTTTCCATTCCTGAGTTACTTCCCTTAGAATAATGTTTTCCACCTCCATCCAGTTGTTACAAATGCTATTATTTTATTCCTTTTTGTGGCTGAGTAGTATTCCATGGTGTGTGTATATATATATTACATTTTCTTTTCTTTTATTCTTTTTTTCTTCCATCTGAGATGAGCAGCATTTGGCCAATATATTACATTTTCTTTATCCACTTGTTGGCTGATGGGCATTTAGGCTGGGTCCGTAACTTTGCAATTGCAAATTGTTCTGCTATAAATATGTGTGTATAAGTGTCTTTTTCATATAATGACTTCTTTTCCTCTGGGATTGCTGGATAAAATGGTAGTTCTACTTTAAGTTCTTTAAGGAATCTCCATACTTCAGGATTTCCATTGTGATTGTACTAGTTTACATTCCCACCAGCAGTGCAGAAGTGTTCCCTTTTCACCACATCCATGCCAACATTTATTATTTTTTGGTTTTTTAATTGTGGCCATTTCTGCAGGAGTAAGGTGATATCTCATTGTGGTTTTGATTTGCATTTCCGATGCTTAGTGATATTGCGCATTTTTTCATATGTTTCTTGGCCATTTGTATATGTTCTTTGAAAATTGTCTATTCATGTCCTTAGCCCACTTTTGGATGGGATTATTTGTTTTATTTTATTCTATTTTAATTTTTTTTGCTGATTTGTTTGAGTTCCTTGTAGATTCTGTATATTACACCTTTGCCAGATGCATAGTTTGTGAATATTTTCTCCCACATTGTGGGTTGTCTGTTTACTCTGCTGATTATTTCTTTTGCTGTGCAGAAGTTTTTAGTTTAATTAGGTCTCATCTATTTATCTTTGTTTTGTTGCCTTTGCTTTGGAGTTCTTGGTCATAAACTCTTTGCCTAAGCCAATATCTAGAAGAGTTTTTCCAATGTTGTCTTCTAGAATTTTTATGGTTTCAGGTCTTAGATTTAAGTCCTTGATCTATCTTGAGTTGATTTTTGTATAAGGTGAGAGATTAGGATCAAGTTTCATTCTCCTACATGTGGCTTGCCAATTATCCCAGCACCATGTGTTGAATAGGGTGTCCTTTCCCCACTTTATGTTTTTGTTTGCTTTGTCAAAGATCAGTTGGCTGTAAGTATTGGACTTTATTTCTGGGTTCTCTATTCTGTCCTATTGGTTTAGGTGCCATTTTTATATCAGTACCATGCTGTTTTGGTGACTACAGGCTTGAAGCTGGGTAATGTGATATTTCCGGATTTGTTCTTTTGGCTTAGCCTTGCTTTGGCTATGTGAGTTCTTTTTGGGTTTCATATGAATTTTAGGATTTTTTTTTCTAGTTCTGTGAAGAGTGATGATGGTATTTTGATGGGAATCGCATAGAATTTGTAGATTGTTTTTGGCAGTATGGTCATTTTCACAACATTGATTCTACCCATCCATGTGCATGGGATGTGTTTCCATTTGTTTGTGTCATCTATGATTTCTTTCAGCAGTGTTTTGTAGTTTTCCTTGTAGAGATCTTTCACCTCCTTGGTTAGGTATATGCCTAAGTTTTTTTTTTTTGCAGCTGTTGTGAAAGGGGTTGAGCTGTTGATTTTATTCTCAGCTTGGTTGCTGTTGGTGTATAGTAGTGTCACTGACATATTGATTTTGTATCCTGAAACTTTACTGAATTCATTTTTCAGATCTAGGAGCTTTTTGGGTGAGTCTTTATGGTTTTCTAGGTATACGATCATGTCATCAGCAAACAGTGACAGCTTGACTTCCTCTTTACTGATTTGGATGGCCTTTCTTTCTTTTATCTGATTGCTCTGGCTAGGATTTCCAGGACTGTGCCAAACAGAAATGGTGAAAGGGGGCATCCTTGTCTAGTTCCAGTTCTCAGGGGGAGTGCTTTCATCTTTTCCCTGTTGCATATAATGTTGGCTGTGGGTTTGTCATAGTTGGCTTTTATTACCTTAAGGTATGTCCCTTCTATGCTGATTTTGTGGAGGGTTTTAATCATAAAGGGATGCTGGATTTTGTCAAATGCTTGTTCTGCATCTATTGAGATGATCATGTGATTTTTGTTTTTATTTCTGTTTATGTGGTGTATCACATTTATTGACTTGCATATGTTAAACCAAACCTGCATCCCTGGTATGAAACCCATTTGATCATGGTCTACTATCTTTTTGATGTGCTGTTGGATTCGGTTAGCTGGTATTTTGTCGAGAATTTTTGCATCTATGTTCATCAGGGGTATTGGTCTGTGGTTTTCTTTTTTTTTTTTTTTTTGTTATGTCCCTTTCTGGTTTTGGTTCAAGGATAAACCTGGTTTCATAGAATGATTTAGGGAGAATTCTCTCTTTCTCTGTCTTTTGGAATAGTTTTAAGTAGGATGGTTCCAATTCCTCTTTGAATGTCTGATACAATCATGTAACATTTCAATGAATTCATATATGTAAAGGCCCCAGAAAATTGTCTGGAATGTAGTAAGTATTCTCCACATGGTAGGTATTATTATTAGCAAATACTGGTAGCTTTGCCCCAGATAAACTTTGCTTCCTTCACCATTTTTCCTAAAGTTAGCCCTAGCACCAGGTTATATCTGTCTCAGAATGTTTTATTCCATTTTCCCTTAATGCCCAATTTGTGCACACTTTCTCGATCTCTCTTTCTTTCTCTGTGTGTGTGGCTTTTGACGCACGTGTGATGGGCGATCACTTTATATCCCTTATAGAATAATGTCTACTATGGAATTGACTTTTCTCTTTTTTTTTTCTATTACAGTCCAGACTCTTCAGGAAATTTTAGTTTTCTTTAATAAATACTATGGTATATTCTTTTTCTTTTTTTCCTTTTTTTGAGATGGTGTCTTGCTCTGTCACCCAGTCTTGAGTGCAGTGGTGTCATCTCTAATCAATGTAACATCCGCCTCCCAGGTTCAAGTGATTCTCGTGGCTCTGCCTCTCAAGTAGCTGGGATTACAGGCACGTGCCACCATGCCCAGATAATTTTTGTATTTTTAGTAGAGATGGAGTTTCATTATGTTGGCCAGGCTGATGTCAAACTCCTAACCTCAAGTGATCTGTCCACCTTGGCCTCCCACAGTGCTGGGATTATAGGTGTGAGCCACCGCACCTGGCCAATATGATGGTATTTCTTTTTAAATTGTACTTTAGGTTCTGGGGTACATGTGAAGATCATGCAGGATTGTTGAATAGGTACATACATAGCAAGGTGATTTGCTGCCTCCATCCCCCCATCACCTATACCTGGCATTTCTCCCCACGTTATCCCTTCCCACCCTCCCACACCCAGTTGGCCCTCCCCTAAGCTCCCCACCTCAACAGACCCAGTGTGGTGTTTTTTTTCAAATGAAACCATGGTGAAGTTGCCAATGATTTCTGCATTCTGAAGCTGCCAGAAGGTTTACCGAGCTTCTTTGTAGTTATAAGAATACTGGATGATACAGAAGCACATTCCAGGTTAGGCATTGTTCAGGATATTTCCGATAACTAATCCTTATTCCTTTGAGCACCAATGCTTAAAATATTCTTCCACTTTGGATAGAAATATTTATTTTTTAAAATTATGTTTATTGCTTTTATTTTTTCATGGGACACTTCACAAATTTTTGTGTTATTCTTGTGCAGCGTCCATACAAATATTCTTTGTAGCATTCTAATTTTAGTGTATGTGCTGCTGAAGTGAGCACAAGATAGAAATATTTCTAAAATGTATGTCTTAATTTTCTCTCCTCTTAAATAAAAGGCACTGGAAAAAAATTTTATCTCTTTTTGATAATTCATGGTGACCTGAACATTACAGGAATATTGTAATGAGGCAATATCTGGCATCATGGTTAAGCGCATGCCTTCTCTAGTTTGACAGATCTAGATTAGAATCTTGGCTTGGTCAATTACCAGCTGCATGACTCTGGGAAAGTTACTTGACCTCTCTATGCTCCTTTTTCCTCATCTGTATAATGGAGACATTAATAATATCTACTGTATATGACTGTTTTAAGGATCAAATGGGATAATACATCCAAGGCATTTAATATAGCACTGCACACAAGGCATGCACAATAGGTGTTTTCTGTGGTATTATTACTAGGTAATGTCCTTTGCATTGTTATGCACAAAATTATTCTTGTAAGGGATATATAGGAGCCATATTGAGGCATTCCTAGAACCCAGAAAGAAGACTAATAAGATCAATACATAAGGAATGAGACCGAAAGCTGAACTGGGGAGCAGCAAGCAGCCAAGAAGACTGATCATCTTGTTTCAAGCTTCCAGGTGGCTGGGAGACAGACCTAAACATAAATATTTGCAAATGTCACTGGATAGAGTCTCTTTTGGGCCCAAAGTGCCTGGCACAGTGCCTGGCATAGGACATACCTAATAGATTTTTGTTGACTCTGTAAAACTGTAGATGTACAAAAAGCAAGAAGAGCAGGGCTTGACTATTGCTCAGAACACACTATTATTTATCTAAAGAAAGAATGCCGGCTTGAAATTGTCAGCTAGGAAATGCAGAAAAATGGAGCCAGAGATGCAGCACCATACCCACAAACTGAGTATTGGGCTCTGGGGCATGGTGACCAAATTAAAAAGCTGTTGCCTTCTGGCCCTCTGGTTGGCCAGTTGGCCTCTCCAAGTGACCTCCATCTGTGTGTTCTCATATGGCTACACTGTCTTAGGGTCTTTAGAGGATCACACATTTAGTAACTGATCAGGGAAGTCTGCTGAGGCATCTGGGAACAAAGTGCTGTTGGGAGCACCCCACCACCTTCTTGACAGTGTCCTTTGTAACACAGATTTCTTGCTGTTGTTTGTTTGTTTGTTTTGAGATGGAGTCTCACTCTGCTGCCCAGGCTGGAGTGAGGTGATGCAATCTTGGATCACTGCAACTTCGGCCTCTTGGGTCCAAGCGATTCTCATGCCTCAGCCTCCCAAGTAGCTGGAATTACAGGCGCCTGCCACCATGCCTGGCTAATTTTTATATTTTAAAGTAGAGACTGGGTTTTGCCATATTGGCCAGGCTGGTCTCAAACTCCTGGCCTCGAGTAATCCACCTGCCTCAGCCTCCCAAAAGGCTGGGATTACAAGCATAAGCCACTGTACCTGGCCCACAAAAGTTTATTAATTAGTCGTTTTTGTTTTTGATTTTTGATTTTTGTGGGTACATAGCAGGTGTATATATTTATGGGGTACATGAAATGTTGTGATACTGGCATACACCATGTAATAATCACATCATGGAGAATGGGGTATCCATACCCTCAAGCATTTATCCTTTGTATTACAAAGAATTCAATTATACTATTTAAGTTATTTTAATATGTACAATTATTATTGACTATAGTCACCCTGTTGTGCTATCAAATAGTAGGTCTTATTCATTCTTTCTATTTTTTTGTACCCATTAACCATCCCTACCTCCTTCCCCGCTACCCTTCTCAGCCTCTGATAACCTGTCTTCTACTCTCTATGTCTGTTAATTCAATTTTTTTGATTTCTAGATCCCTCAAATAAGCGAGAACATGTGATGTTTGTCTTTCTGTACCTGGTTTATTTCACTTAACATAATGACATCCAGTTCCATCCATGTTGTTGCAAATGACTGATTCTCATTCTTTTTTGTGGCTAAATAGTACTCCATCATGTATATGTACCACATTTTCTTTATCCATTCATGTGTTGACGGACACTTAGGTTGCTTCCAAATCTTAGCTATTTGTGAACAGTGCTGCAAAAACATGGGAGTGCTGTTATCTCTTCCATACACTGATTTACTTTCTTTTGGGTAACATACCCAGCAGTAGGATTGTTGAATCATATGGTAGCTCAATTTTCAGTTTTTCAAGGCACCTCCAAACTGTCCTTCATAATGGTTGTATGAATTTCTGTTCCCATCAGCAGTGTATGAGGCTTCCTTTTTCTCTGCATCCTCTCCAGCCTTTGCTATTGCCTATCCAAAAGTTTTTAATTTTGATGAAGTCAAATTCCTCCCTTTTTTTTCTTTTGTTGCTTGTGCTTTTGGCGTCATATCTAAGAAACACTTTCCTAATTAAATGTCTTGAAGGTTTTTTCCTATTTTCTTCTAAGAATAACATAGTTTTATCTCTTACATTAAGCTCTTTGAGTTAAATTTTGTATATGGTAGGAGGTAGGGGTCCAAATTCATTCTTTTGCGTATGCACATCCAGTTGTCTCAGTACCATTTGTTGAAAAGACAACATTAATCAATTCCTCCATTGAATTGATTAATGTACCTATGTAGTAAGTTTTAAAAGTAGAAGGTATGAGTCCTCCAACTTTGTTCTTTATTTTAAAAATCATTTTGGCCATTCTGGATTTCTTGCATGTCCATATGAATTTTAGGATCAGCTTGTCAATTTCTGCAAAAAGGGCCAGCTGAGATTTTGATAGTGATTGTGTTCAATCTGTAGATTGCTTTGGGGAGTGTTGCCATATTAATAATATTAAATGTTTAAATCCATGAACATGGGATATATTTCCACTTATTTGTCTTTAATTTCATTCAGCAATGTTTTGTAGTTTTCAGTGCACATGTCTTATACCTCCTTGGTTTAATTTATTAACAAATAATTTTATTAGTTTTGGTGTTATCAAAAAATAGGATTATTTTCTTGATTTGGTATTTAAATTGTTCATTGCAAGTGTATAGAAATATAATAGATTTTTTTTTTTGAGACAAGACTGTTGCCCAGACTGAAATGCAGTGGTGTGATTACAGCTCATTGTAGCCTTAATTTCCTGGTCTCAGGTGATGGTCCTACCTCAGCCACCTGAGTACCTGTGACCACAGGTGTGGAGCACCATGCCTGGCTAATTTTTGTATTTTTTATAGGTACAGGGGTTCACCATGTAGCCCAGGCTAGTCTCAAGCTTCTGAGCTCAAGTGATCTACCTGTCTCAGCCTCCCAAATGGGATTACAGGTGTGATCCACAGTGCCTGGACAATTGTTTTTTTATATTCATCTTATATTCTTCATTTCGATGAACTTATTCATTAGTTTGAATAGTTTTCTAGCGGATTTCCATATGGTTTTCTTATACAAGAGTATGCCATTGGTGAATAGAGATAGGTTTACTTCTTCCTTTGCAATCTGGATGCCTTTTATTCCATTTTCTTCTCTAATTTTTCTGGCTGGAACCTCTGGTACAATGTTTAATAGAAGTGGTGAGAGCAGACAGTGTTTCGCCATTGAGTATGATGTTAGGTGTGGGCTTTTGGTAAATGCCCTCTATCAGACTGAGAAAGTTCTCTTAGATTCTGAGTTTGTTTTGTTTTGTTTTTATAATGAAAAGGGTTGGATTTTATCAAATGCTTTTTCTACATCTGTTAAAATGGCCACTTGTTTTTGTTCTTTATCATATTTGTATGCTATATTACATCAGTTGATTTTCTTTTTTTTTTTTTTTAAGGTTATGGGCCATTTCTTTTTTTTTTTTTTCCCATTTATTTATTTTATTGCATTTTAGGTTTTGGGGTACATGTGAAGAACATGCAAGATTGTTGCATAGGTACACACGTGGCAGTGTGATTTGCTGCCTTCCTCCCCATCACCTACATTTGGCATCTCTCCCCTTGCTATCTCTCCCCAGCTCCCACCCCCCACCGTCCCTCCCCTATTTCCCCCCAACTGATCCCAGTGTGTAGTGCTCCCCTCCCTGTGTCCATGTGTTCTCATTGTTCAACACCCGCCTATGAGTGAGAACATGCAGTGTTTGATCTTCTGCTCTTCTGTCAGTTTGCTGAGAATGATTAAATCAATCTTGCATTCCTAGGATAAAACCCAGTGGATCATGTTATATATGCACATAGAAATTTGTGCACATCTGTGATTATTCTTGAAGGATCTTTCTTCATAGAAATTGAATTACTGTGTAAAATTCTGATAGATAATGTCAAATTGCCTTACAAAAATGCTATACCAAGTTACATTCTCACCAATAGTGTAGACAGTGTCTTCTTCCTATCCCTGCAACACTGGATATTGTTTGTCTTTAATGTTTGCTAAACTGATGGATGAAAATGGCATTTTATTTATTGCTGTAATTTGTATTTCATGATTCCTAATGAGTTTGGACTTCCTCTTATCCCTTTTAGTCTATTTGTATTTCCTTTTTGTGGACCAAATATATCTTTCTTATTTTCTTACAGAATGGAGAAGGCAGTGAAAAGACTCAGGTCCCAAGTGAAAAGTTTCCAGAATATATGGAAGAACCTTCATGTCTAGGTAGAGGGTCACTGATGTCTTTCAACAACACAAATTCTAGCAATGGTAGTTTTACTTTTGTGTTGCCCCTGAAGTTGGTGGGAGTTAGGGACACCTACAGTTCTTCTGATCAGTCAAGAATGGCCTGGGTAGAACTGCTTTGATTGCATTGCCCTGGCTGCAACTACATGATCAACTGGTCTCTGAAAGCTCTAAAGCTATGGTTTTCCTCTTAGCCAAGCCTTTCCCCTGCTTTATCCCCAGAAGGTAATTTGCCTTTGTTTTCTGCCACTATTACTACCAACACATTGCCATTTATTTTTATTCGTTTTTGAGATGGAGTCTTGCTCTGTCACCCAACTGGAGCGCAGTGGTCTGATCTAGGCTCCCTGCAGCCTCTGCCTCCTGGTTTCAAGCAATTCTTGTGTCTCAGCCTCCAGAGTAGCTGGGATTACAGGTGCCCA